GGCGGCAGACAAGGCCATGTGTGCAGGTAAGAGGAGCTGGGAAGGAAGGAAAGGAGGGAGGGGAGGGAAGCCGCCCTGACCAGCCCACCTGAGACCCCTTCAGAGCCCACCATAGACAGTCTCAGATGGGCTGTGAAGCATCTATGGTGGGCTCTGCAGGGTCACTCTAAGGTAGGTCCTGTGTCCAGCGCGTCACAAAGCCCCGTGTCCAGCGGCGGGGGGGCCAGGCCTAAAGCCGTGTAAGGGGACCCCAAATTTCTGATGCCCAGGATACACAGCTGCCACCTACAGCCACCCATAGTAATCAATGGCTGTATGCTGCTGAATGTGGGTTTGCACCGCTATTTGCATACAGCTGTATGCCCCTGGATGCAGACTAACCGTGTGCAGGGTTGTATGCCCGTATGCATGTGTGGGTTTATGCAAGTAGCGGTGTAAACCCATGTACAGACATTACAACTAGAGGTGCACCAAAATGGAAATTTTAAAACCGAAACGAAACCGAAATAAAAAAATGCCAGGCCGAAACCCATTGGATCCAGACACGCGCGGCACCTCTGGCAGTTGCCGGCCAGCTAAATTAGGACCCCACCTGCAGCTCCTCCCACCGGACCAGCGCTGACTCGCCGCTGCTCTCCCGCACCGAAGGTAAGTGAAGAAAAAAAAACATGCACCGACCCTGGCTGTACGCAGCAGCCCTGTATCCCGAGCGAGGAAATAAACGATTCTTAAGGTGCCTATACACTGTATGATTATCGTACGAGAATCGCGGGAAGTCCCGCAATCGTACGATAATCGTACAGTGTATGGAAGGCATGCGACCGTTTCTACTGTACGGTCGCACGTCTTCCGTCGAACAAGCAGGCTTGAAAACCCGCCGAGAATCGTACGATTCTCGGCGGGTTAGTGGCCAGCTTGTTCGACAACTGCCAAACAGGCCGTTGTGCTCACGCGCACACTGCCCGTTTGCAGTGATCAGAAGCCCACCCCTCATTGCAGTCATCTGGAAGTCCGCCCCGATGATCGCAAGTACGATCTGCCTGTCCAAGATGGGCAGATCGTATAGTTTTTTAATAAGCTTACGACCTTTGCAAGACAAAAGTCTTGCGATGGTCGTAAGGTGTATGGGCACCTTTAGTTTAACCATAGATTTTTGGCATATCTTCATTGTGTGGGGGAGGCAGGGAAGTGTAAGCAAGGGCTGTAACCTGCAAAGTAAAACACTGAGTTTGAGGCCTGGATCACACCTGGGCGATCGTGCACAAAACCGCGCTGATCGCCGGGTGTTCATGGAAGCGCGCACAACCGGTGATCTCGCTTGTGGTGCCATTCATTTCTAATGGCACCCCAATCATGGCTGGCAAATCGTGTGATTTCCTGCCGTGATTCTGTGTGTGCAATTGTGCACAATTGCGGCAGAAAAAAAAGTGCAGTAGTTTCATTTACTTTTTTTCAGCGATTGCCCGCGGATATACGCTATTGAAATCTAAGTGTGAACCAGGCTAATGTGCTGAGTGAGATCAGGCAGGTGTTTCCTTTTTTTTGAAATTAACTTTATTTGGGGTGTACAAAATGTCTCCACACAGCAGTGTAGTGTGCTATACTGAGCTGTGATGACCTGTGCTGCCATCCAGGACACTGCGAAAAAATGTAACCTTTGCATTTTTCCACACAGCAAATCACACCTGCACATTGCACACATAATACACATACCAGTCACTGGTGTTGATGTAAAACACCAATCCCCACTAATGGAGTGAATGCGCCTGTTTTTTATGTGTATTGTTAGGGCCACAAAAGACAAAATAGGAAAGTGGTCCCATGGGACTGTCACTCCTATCACCCATGTGTTTTATTAAGATGAATTATGGTTAAATAAAGGGCTGTCATGGTGTCTCTCTGGCGGCTTCTTTTTTCTGCTTTGTCTTTCAGGTTGCTAGTTGCCAGCTGTTGCTAGGAGGATTTACCTCAGTTGCTGGGCAGATCTTCAATCAGCTGAGCACAGGATTAGTTACTGGCAGGAAAACAGCTGGCCAATGAATGTAACCCCTCACCTCTATAGTCGCTCCTGTCAGTGGGCGGTGTCAGCAGTTACCTCAGGACTGGCAGCTGGACTCACCTCTGGGTTGTCCTTTTGGATCATTTCCTGTGCACATCTTCCCATTTTTCCCCTTGTCGTGGTCAATCTTTATGGGTTAATGTCACCTACTTTGTGGGTGGACAGTGGTTGGTAAACAGTTATTTGGTTGGTGTAAGTTATTGCTGTTTGAGTCTTAACCACCTCCCATCCATTGGCTGGACGGGAGCCTTGTAGATGCGGATGGGTGTTTTAAGATGTCGCACGCACGAGTGGGGAAGCTGTCTAAAATGTAAACATCCAGCAATGGCTGTTTAAATACAAGTGTCCTGGCGTCTATAGAGACGCCCGATCGCTTGTATTTCCTGCCTGTGTGCAGCCACTGTCGCTGCCGCTCCCGAGATCCGCTGTGCCCTCTGAACTCCTCCCCGTACTCTAAATGCAGGAAGTGATGTATGTTACATCCCTTCCGCATTCAGCTGTCACTCTCCGGCTTCTGTAGCTGGAGAGAAGCTGGTCAAGCAGATCTCTTGGAGAGCCCTGATGTCTCCATAAAGAGGGCCTGTCACGCAAATTGGGGCTTCTTAGCCCCCATATGTGATAGGAATAAGATTAGGTGTACAAAAAAAAGTTTAAAAAAAATTAAAGTGACATATAATTAAAAAAATAATAATGTAAAAGTCCCCTGCCCCCACATACAAACATGAGTCGAGTGTGCCTACGTGCAAAAACAACGCTTGTGCCGCACATGTTACATATCACTGCGAACGTCAGAGTGTAAGCAATAATTTTAGGGACATTAATCACTGAAAACATTAAACTGATGAGCAGTAAATGCTTTTAACTGCCTCCGGGCCGGCCGTAGTAGAAAAACGGCCGGCCCGGGCGTCTCTAGACGGAGGAAATTGCCGTTTTTTAAAAACAGGCAGCGATGCCTGATACCATACAAGCGATCCGCCGGCTTTAGAGCCGGCGGATCGCGTGTATGGGGTGCCGATCGGTGTGTCCCCCCCCTCCGCGGCCCCCCCCTGCCGTTGTTCCGCTGTGCCCGGGCTCCGCTGTGCCCGGTGCGAGCCCGAGATCAGCATGTCGCCTGTGACACAGGGGATCAGAGAGAGCTCGGTACACGAGCTCCCTCCGGTCCCCTCTCCTCTGAAAGAATGCGGAAGTGTTGTATAATACATCACTTCCGCATTCTTGTGTCACTCTCCAGCTTCAGAAGCTGGAAAGAAGCTGATGGAGCAGATCTGTGCTTCATCAGCTTCTTTTGGGGGGTCCTAGGTGACATTAGGGGTCTTGGAGACCCCTGATGTCTCCATAAAGAGGACCTGTCACATATTTTGCTATCACATAGGGGGGTTTTATTAGCCCCCGTATGTGATAGCAATAAAGTTTAGTGGAAAAAAAAAATGAAAATTCCTCCCCCCCAAAAAAATTACACATAAAAAATAAAAAAAAACAATTTTTTTTTTAAAGTCCCCACCCATACATACACGCATGCAAACATGCGTCGGGGGCGCATACGTGCAAAAAAGACGATTGCGCCCATTACGCCGCACATGTTACATATCGCCGCGAACGTCGGAGTGAGAGCAATAAGTCTAGGGCCATCAATCACTGATAACACTAAACTGATGAGCGGTAAAAGCTTTTAAAGCGTCGCCTATGGCCAATTTTGGGTATGGTAGTTTTCTGCAATTTCGCGGGTGCGCGCAATTTTAAAGCTTGACCTGTTTGGTGTCTATTTACCCGACTTGACCCGATCTTTTATATTTTACCAAAAAACTGGTTAATAATAAATGTTTCCTAACATAATGTAAAACAAAATTTTCTGTAATTTTTCCTAATTATAATAAAAAATAAAAACCCCAGTGGTGATTAAATACCCCCAAAATAAAGCCCTATCTGTCCCCAAAAAATGGTATAAAATTAATTTCAGTACAGCGTTGCATGACGGAATAAACGTCAGTCAAAGTACCGCAGCGCTGAACACTGAAAAATGGCCTGGCCAGGAAGGGGGTCTAAACACCTGGTCTTGAAGTGGTTAAAGCGTCACCCATGGCCAATTTTGGGTGTGGTCGTTTTTTGTGGTTTTGCAGGCGCAAACAATTTTAAAGCTTGACATGTTTGGTGTCTATTTGCCTGACGTGACCCCTGTATTTTAGATGTTACCCAAAAATTGGGTAATAATAAATGTTTCATAACATAACGTAGGGAAATTTTTTTCCCCACATTTTCTGTACTTTTTTTGTTATATAGTAAAAAAAATTTAAACCTGGGTGCTGAATAAGTACCACATAAAAGAAAGCTCTATCTGTCCCCAAAAAACAATATAAAATTAATTTCAGTACAGCGTTGCATGACGGAATAAATGTCAGTCAAAGTACCTCAGCACTGAATATTGAAAAATGGGCTGGCCAGGAAGGGGGTGTAACACCCTGGTCATCAAGTGGTTAAAGACATAGCATGGTGGTCTGTTAATGGTTAACAGCAGTTCTCGGTGGTAAGGAAGTTGAAAGGCCTTTTCAAGGTTAAAATTTATTTACACCCAATAAAGGAAGCACAGTCTATAGATATCCCATAATGTTTATTATGTGTTTACTTTATTATTCAGGTATGTTGTTATGGGTGTTATTGTGAGGTACAATCCAATGAGCCATGCTCACCTCACATAGTGCAGCACAACCCCCACCCCCCCTATTATTTAACCTGAGCTGAAAGGTGACAACCCTTCCCTATGGCAGGACTGTGGAAGATTACATTTATTGTCCAGGGTAATAGAAAATAATACAAAGAATCCATCTCTGGGAGATATAATGTGACTGACTGGTAGCGGGCACAGCAGCGCCACCTAGTGTTCGGAGAGTGACAGGGCCAGCCCGCGACACGACTACATGGCTGCAGGGGAAGCGTGCTCTGCCATTCACCGGGCTGACTCTCCAGTCTCTCTGCAGACACACACACAGTCTGTCTCTGACACAGGGCAGTGCAGCAGCAGCAGCGGCCGCCTCCCCCAGGCATGGCACAAGGCTCTAGATCACTATGGCAGCAGCGCGACAACATACCCTCGACTTCCAGCTCAGTGGCACAGGTAACCGACGAGCATTGGAGGCTGCGGGGTCACCGAGGGGTCATATATAAACCTACACGAAATGAATGGGGGAGGGGACATCGTGTTGTGATTGTGCACAGGGCAAAGCGGGGTGACTGCTGGGACATTTTGGGGCTCAGCAGATGGCAGCTGGGGGTGCCCCCATGTCACTGGAGGTGACACAGGAAGTTGGGATTGCAAGCATGTATATCCTGATTCCATTACTGAGTAGAGTGCATGATGATGCCTGCTCATGGATGACAGGGCATGCTTTGGGGGTAGGAGGAGGAGGTGGGGGTACACTGGATTGGATTGTGTGTTCTTCAAGCTCAGCAAAGTGACTTACAAGGGCCACCAAATGGATGTACCCAAAGCCAGCACAGGCCCCATTCAGCAACCTTGGACCTGGGCTCATATGCTTGATACATACACGAACGGGCACGCCAGGCCTTGGCCACATTGACCTTTTATTATGGATTATAATGTTTGATTTGCCTGCACGTGTGACCTCTGTTTGCCTTTTGTTACCCAGGCTGCTTTCTATCACTATGAGAGCAGTGGGAGTGTGCAAGGTGCTTTGGTCTTGCGTGCACTGTGGGACCTTCACACTGGCAGCTCAGGGACTGCTCCGACTTCTGACATTTAAACCCTAGCAGGAGGGCGTGCACTGGGCATCACACAATTGTCATGTTTTGACAAAAATACTTGTTTGTTTTTTTTTTACATGTTGGGCTACATTCATGCTAGCACTCATGTGTTTATGTTATTGAAATGCAGGAGAAGTTATCTGGGAAGTATAAATAAATGTTATGCTTCTTAGATCAGGTTCTCCTGCGTTTAATGGGAGCCACAAGTGTTAGGTACAGCTCCTAGTGCCCCTCTGTGCATTTGGTTGCACCCTCTTTGTTCACCCCCCCCCCAATACATAAAATCAAATATCTTGTGTCTGTGCCTTTCCTATCCACTGCTGACCGCAGAGGACACAGATAATAAATAAAAGCTCCAGTTGCATTATAGGATTTCAGACCTCCAGTATTCTGCTATGACTTTTCGCATTGCAGCCGGGAGGTGCGTTTGGTGTGTCATTCAAATGAATGGCAAAGCAACGCACCTGCTGCACTGTAGAACACATTGGGTGCGTTACACGGTACGGTGCATTATTCACACAGAACCATGCAATTAACACAAGGCTAAAATCTCATATTAGCCTTACCATGTTAAATGTCATTTCAGAAGTCATTCTCAATCAGTTTAAATCTGTAGCTTTCATTACAACAATACATGTTGATCCTGCCATCAAGGTTCTTGGACAGGCTCTCCCTGGTATGGGATGACAACTGTCTCCTAATTGTGCTCCTTCGTAGTCACCCTGTCACATGCATTCCTGGAGAAGACTACAAGTGGCTGTGCCAATACTTTTTTATTTTTTGTAAGGTCCATGATGCGTGCATGGAAGACAAACTTCACCCCTGTTAACAAAAAAAGTGAACCGTGCACTCACAGCACACTAAAAAATAAAAAGTACATGAGGGTGCTTTGGTCCTCCTTGAAGAGGAAGAGCCTCGAATCCATGAACCCCGCGGGGCGCAAGGCTCCTGACGGGGGCAAGGACGACTTAGGTCCACTTACCCGAAGGCTGGCGGACCCCGATCCTCAGGGCCCTGCCGAAACAGGTCCCACGAGTACTGGGTGGGGGCTCTCCGGAAGAGAGAACCCGGAGTGGGAGGAGGCAGGGGAGCTCATAGAGGCCATAGAACCTGCTCCCCAACTTCAGGATGGGCCCCGGAGGTATTCGCAGCCTCCGTCTTCTGTGAAGTCAAAAGGTGCTCAATCGTGCATAAAAAGTAGTGCGTAAAAAAAAATAAGGTGCCAGTGCACAACCCTGGCAGGCCTTTTGGCCAGATTACAAAATAAATAAAATAATATTTTTATTTTAACCACCTTCCGTCCATGGCCGTTTGTGAACGGCCGGACGGACGTCTGCTAGGAGCGGGAGGGCGTCTTAAGACGTCCTGCCCCTCCCCCCTCTCGTGTGCGGCACTCAGCGTGCACACGAGAGGGGAAACTGTGAGCATGTAAACAGCCAGCGTACCTCTGTCCCGCCGTCTCCTATCCGATGTGGCCGGTGCGGTTGGGACCGGCACGGCGATTAAAAAAAAAAAAAAAATGACAGCATTAAAAAAAATAAAGACGCTAAAAAAAATATTCACAAATAATAATTAAAAGAAATTACATAAAAAATGTTTTAAAGTCCCCCGCCCGCCCACATACACATGCAAACAAACGACGATTGCGCCTATTATGCAGCACATGTTACATATCGCCGCGAACGTCGGAGTGAGAGCAATAATTTTAGGGCCATCAATCACTGATAACACTAAACTAATGAGCGGTAAAAACGTTTAAAGTGTCGCCTATGGCCAATTTTGGTTGCGGTCGTTTTCAGCGATTTCGCGGGCGCACGCAATTTTAAAGTTTGACATATTTATTGTCTATTTACCCGACGTGACCCCGTCTTTTATAGTATACCAAAAAATTGGGGTGAAAATAAATGTTTCATAACATTTTATAGGGAAACGTTTTTTTTACAAAATTTAGGGTACTTTTTTTGTTATATAGTAAAAAATAAAAACCCCAGCGGTGATTAAATACCACCAAAAGAAAGCTCTATCTGTCCCAAAAAATTGTATAAAATTCATTTTCAGTACAGTGTTGCATGACGGAATAAACGTCAGCCAAAGTACCGCAGCGCTGAACACTGAAAAATGGCCTGGCCAGGAAGGGGGTGAAACACCGCGGTCTTCAAGTGGTTAAAAATAAAATAAAAAATATTGTCCCAGCCTAGTCAAAAGGCCTGCCTAAGTGGCTTAGTGCAGATAATGCAACAAGTGCCATGACCTAGTGACAGTGAATCAGTGTGGGGTCCCACTCCCAAGTGATTTTCTGGGACGCCACCCCCATGGGGCCTCTGCACCTCCTGAACCCTCCCGCTACACCAGAGCACCACCCATCCCCATCAGGAGGCATTATTGCTGAGGAGCTCCCACCATGGATGAAACTCCTCAGCACCCACCTTCACTACTAAGCAACCATACCCCCGACAGGATGGTGCTGTTCCCCCCCGAAAACTGTACAAGCACAGTCCACTGCTGTCATTATTAGGAGGCTCATCCGGAGCAATGTTGCACAGCTGAAATTGGAGTGTATGCATGTAGACAGGAAGTTGCTGAGAGAGATCAGCAGTACTAAGGTTACATTTACGCTGGCATTGACAAACCTGCAATTATATGTGTGTGTGTAGTTAATTTCTAAATTAATATGATTCTTAAAGCCCCGGGTACAAAAAAACTCGAAACCAGTATTATAGCAGTTATACATTCCATTGGCAGAAAAGTAACCCCCATCATGCCGCCAAATCTGTTCTTCTGCGTGGGGTGGGAGGGGTGGAGTACAGCTACCGCTCAGATGTACAGGCACTACGGTCACATCTCCATCCCTGCTCCTTCTACCCAAATACAAGACACACAGCCCCAGACTCTATGCTCTGAATGGCATGGAGGAGAACGGGGCAGAGATGCAACTGTAGTGCTGGGGCCTATGAGTCCTGAAGTACATACATTCGAGTGGCTACAGAACTACAGCGGCAGCCCAAATTCCCCCCC